AAACCGCTAAACCGCTAAACCGCTAAACCCCTAAACCCCTAAACCCCTAAACCCCTAAACCCCTAAACCCCTAAACCCCTAAACCCCTAAACCCCTAAACGCCTAAACGCCTAAACCGCTAAACCCCTAAACCCCTAAAACAACCCTAAACCCCTCAGACCCGAAACCCTCAACCCCGACACCCCTAAATCTCGAGGTGGTGCCTAAAGGTCGGGAGGCTTTAGGGCTTCAGGGTTTGGGTTGACGGGTTCAGGGTTTCGGGTTTTAGGCTTCTAGTGTTTTAGGCTTTTAGGGATTGAGGGTTTGGGGTTGACAGTTTTAGAGTTCAGGTTTTGGGGGTTTAGGGTTTGGGGCATCCTGGAGACTGTAGCTGTAGCTTCCTTAAGGGAGGGCGCCAAAGGGAGGGGAGGCATGTAGGGAAGCCTCGAAGCAGTGGAGAAGGGGAAGTTTACGATGCCTACACCTCTTAGCCTCCCTGATCCTACGGCCTGGGGGGCTGTGGTGCCCAGCGGGGCCCCTGTTCAAACTTCATGTGTCTTGTGAGCCGTGTGTACTCTATGCACTGCTTCTGTAAAAAAAAGGTGCTTGTGTCGAAGCTCTAGGATGGCGATCTTGGTGAGCACTTATAGTCTTCACTAGTGTGACTGCAATGGCTGGCGCCTTGTTTGTTTTGGGAGCAGTCTGACAGCTGTAATATAGGGGCCCTATCAACTAGAATAGGTTTTGGGCGGTGATTATAGTATAATTACAAAAGGGCCGTAAAGGAAGATTGTTAGTAATTATTCCGACCCCCTAAACCCTAAACCCTAAACCCTAAACCCTAAATCATAAATCCTAAACCCTAAACCCTAAACCCTAAACCCTAAACTAGTGCCAAGCATAGACCACAAACAGCGGCTCGCAGATCTAGCTGCTAGGAGCAGAGCACTCTAAACCCCTGAACCCCTAAACCCCAAAACCCCTAAGCCCTAAACCCCTGCTAAACCCCTACTAAACTTCTACTAAGCCCCTACTAAACCCCAAAACCCCTAAACCCCTAAACCCTAGAACCCTAGACCCCCGAACCCTACACCCCTACACCTCAACCCAAAACACAGCAGGTCAGTACCCCTAAACCCCGAAAATCCTAAACCCCTAAACCTCCTACACCCCTCAACCCAAAACCCAGCAGGTCAGTAGGTCCCCGCGCCCAATCTTGGAGCCGGAAGAGATGCATCGTGCTGGCATCATCTACGGCCACCACGTAAGCCTTCATGGCTTCCCAGCTCCCGACCCCAAAAGTTTCGGGTTTTAGGGTTTAGGGTTCAGGGTTTAAGGTTCGAATACCGCTTTAACTTAAGAATGGATTGGTCGGTTTCTTGGCGTGAGGGGCTGAGTCCAGAGAAGATACATGAGGGCGTTTCTGTTTGCAGTAGAAACTGGTAACCTTCTGGCGAGGGGCGTTTGGCCGGGGGGTAGCCATCCAAAGTGCGGTTCACGAAAAGTGCTGACAACCCGAAATTATTGGGTCCTTGAGTTCGAAGGACATTCACTCGACACATCTGGCTGGACCTATTTCTTCACTGTCCAGACATGCAATTCTGAGAGATGCTGAGCTTCTGTTTCAGTACATAGTTAGCGGGCCGAGAAGACAGTCAAGGACACAGAATACAACATACTTCAGCAGCCGGTCCCGAAACCCTCAACACATGCTCAAAACTGTTCATGCCGGCGACTTTACTCCAAGCTTTGGGCGCAATCCTGCTGCGAGCTCCATGACGGGACCCTGAACCCCTAAACCCTAAACCCTGAAAGAAGCCAGGAGCTCGGAATTTCCAGAAGTGCTGTGGCCTTGTGGGGCCACAAAAGGGGCCATGGCCAAACTGGCACTCAGCAAAGGAATCAAAAGGGCGACCCGACTCGCAGGAGCTCAAGAGCGAGCGCTGTGTAAGAACACCTCTTTCAAAGCCCTATGCAAATCACCACACCCGAAAAACCCTAAAGCTACAAAACCCTAAGGCACTAAAACCCTAAAACCCCCTAACGCCCCTGAAACCCCTAGAGCCCTATAGCCCCAACCCCCCCCCCCCCCTGCCCTCAAAACCCTAAAAGCCCACGCGACACCCCCCAGAGACTTCGCCTGGGAGGCGCACTCCAGCAATCGGAGGCGCCTCATCATGAAGCACTGAAGAAAAACTTGGTTCTTGCTACCTGTGTGGGGTTTAGAGGCTGATACGGTGGGGGGTCGTACAGGATCCCAAAGACCTTATGCCCCTAAAATATAAATCCCAAATCCTGAAAAGGGTGGAGGGTTAGGACTTTAGGGTCTTATCTTCGCGTACCCGAAAAGGAGCAGTAGATGAAGCCATACGGCTGCTTTGGAAGGTGATTTCGATCCCCTGAGGTCCGCACCCAGTTGATCTCCAGGACAAATGTAAAAGATCCCGCCTCAGCCGTGTGCGATGCGAAACCCTGAACCCCAAGTTCTTCGAAACCCCGGCCCCAAACCCCAAACCCCTCAACCCCTCAACCCTCCACCCCTAAACAACCTAAACCTAAACCCCAAATCCTCCCAAAACCCTTAAAGCCCAAACCTCAGGCTCCAGAGCAGCAGCCTGAAATAGGGCGTAGGTTTATGGAAATTTAGAGGTCTAGAGGTTCAGAGACTTGGAGGTTCAGATTTTATTCATTCAGGGGTTTGGAGGTCGGAAGGGGTTTCGGGTGTTAGGTTCTTCGGGTCTTGCTTTAAGGGACCCTTATTAGGGACCTTAGGGGGTTGTTTAGGGGTTATTTGGGGGGGGGCTACTTCGGTATATGGGGACTTTATAAGGTATATATGGGGGTTTATGTAGGGGAAATAAGATTCAGGGTCCCTTCCAGCTTCCGGGGGTCCCTCCTTGTACCCCTTACTCTTGACTTCCTGTGAACCTCAAGGTACGGCCTCAACCTTTCTCATCGGGGTTCTTAAGGGAGGGGGTTTCAAGGGGGGGTATGTCACCCAAGGGTCCAAAACCCTAAACCCTAAACCCTAAAACTCCTCACCTCCTTTTATCCCTGAAGTTTCAGAAGTTGCCAGGCCCGGTGCACTCGAGCTTGGAAGCCGCCAGCGTGTCGCACAAGCCGGCATTTGGACGTGAACCTTGCCAAAGATTTAGGCATTGGGGTTCTGAGAATTTTATTTTTTTTGTGGGGGGGGGGGGGGGGGGGGGGTGGGTTAGGGGATTTAGGATTTCGGGGCTTAGGGGAATTTGAAGCTCAGCCCTCCACCCCGTGAAAGACCCTGAACGTGTCGGGCCTTAGGGGTTTCGGGGCTTAGTGAGGGGATAGTAGCACCCAAACCCGGCACCGGGTGCCTCTCTTGGGGGGCATGCTGTAGTCCCAGTCAAGGGTCTAAAGGAGGAACCCTTATGAGGGATGTTCGGGGTTCTTCAGAGGTTAGTTGGGGGCTACTTAGGTATAGGGGGACTATTATATATAAGGTATATAGAAGGGTTATATAGGGGGACTATAATATAAGGTATATAGAAGGGTTATATAGGGGAATCAGACTAAGGGTCCCTTCTGGGGGTCCCTCCTTTTACCCTTAACCCCAGCTACCCCTAGGTTGATTCAGCCGCTAAACCCCAAACCCGAAACCCCATGGTCGTGTAGCATGGGCTTTCCAGGGAAGCAGCTGAGAACCACATGCCAGCTGAACTGAGCGCGCGGCCAACCCGCCTCGCGGGAGTATGCCAGCTCGTAGACCTCCCGAAACGTCGACTTTCCGCAAAAACCCTGAAGCCTCAAACCATCAATCCTAATCTCAGGTGTTTCGGAGTGCGGGGGTTTAGGGTGCCTGTGTCTTGAGTCATTGAGAGCAGCTCTCGGACCCGGCAAACCACGAGTATTGTGCCGAAAGCCCGAAACCCAGAAGCCACAAACCCCAAAGCCCTTATCAAACAATGAACCTTAAACTCAAGAGCTGCAAATCCCCCCCTCCCAGCAAAAAAATTACAAAACAAAAAAAAAAAAAAAAAAAAACAAAAGCCGACACCCGAACAACCCCAAGAAAATCACAAAAAAAGATCCCCAACACCCTAAAGCAACCCCTCATCCCGGCCTGCGGAGCCCCGCAGCCCAGGAGGATGTGCCCATCTGCTGTGTGGCCTCTGGAACTTTTCGAGTTTATGGGAGGGATTGTTTTGGGAAACTACCTGGAACCTAGAGGTTTTATGGGTTATACCTACGAATTAAGGGGAGAACCTACTAAAGCGTAGGCAAATCTAGTCCCAAGTAAATACCCTAAACCCTAAAAGCCCACAACCCCTCAGTCCCTAAACCCTCAATCCTGAATCATAACTACTATTTGCTTAAAAACAAACTCCCGATACTGCCCCTTACAAGGAAGTTTTTTTTTTTTTTTTTTTTTGGGGGGGGGGGGAGGTAAACAATTTTTGGATCCTCCCTGGGGTCTGGGGTAAGCTCAAGTCGGTTCAGAAGTGGGTAGCCCCAGTTAATAAAAGGGACTGCTTTGGGTAGTTCTCAAAACCCTACTTTGTAGCTTACCCTGAACCTTCCAGCAAAATAGAGGCACTGTCATTAGTGGCGCAGCAGCATGGACATGGCTTGCAAGCAACAAGTAAGAACCCTTTTCCATGCGGATCTTGGTTTCTGAATCAGAAAGAGTTGTGAAACGGGTTGGGTCTCGTGCTTAGCTCTTAAACTTCAAACCCTAAACCCTAAAACCGCCAGGGCTCATATGAACTTGAATGCCTTCCAATGGGTCCAAGGCTTCAGAGTCCCCCCCTCCCTTAAAAAAACACAAAGGGGCCCGGACGGACGAGGTGAAACATCGCGCCGTCGGTGCGTGCCTCATCTGCTTTGTTTTTTGCTTTTGTTGCTTTTGCTTTGCTTTATGTTGCTTTGTTTTGTTTGGACTTGTTTTTGCTTTGTTTCGTGTACATTGTTTGTTTTTTGTGTTGCTTTGTTTTTCGTTTTGCTTTGCTTTGTTCTGTTCTGTGCCATCTTGAAACCCTAAACCCTTACAACCTCAAAGCCCCTTTAAGCACCACAACTGAATATTGGCCCCTTATGCCCCAAACCCTTATGCCCTAAACCCTAAACCCCAAACCCTAGACCCTATAGACCCTAGACCCTAGACCCTAGACCCTAAACCCTAGACCCTAACCCTTAACCCTAAACCCTAAACCCTAAAGCCTAAAGCCTAAACCCTAAACCCTAAACCCTAAACCCTAAACCCTAAACCGCATCGCGACAACCTAACCACCAGGCCACCGGGCGCTGTAGCCCTCGAGGGCCACCAGCCGCAGAGACTCCGCATGTGCTGGGGCCGTGCTGGAGCCGCCTCCTCCCAGGAAGAGCAAAAGCCCGTAAACTGCGGAGGGGCATAAACATTTTAGGGTTTAGGGTTTAGGGTTTAGGGTTAGGGTTTAGGGTTAGGGTTTAGGGTTTAGGGGTTTCGCCCTAAGCCTTGGGTTCAGGATTTAGCACCTGAGGTGCCCTGGGCGATGCGTCTAGAAATATCGCCTGGACCGTCGTATGTGTGCACTCCCACATTGTGGGCAGCGCAGCTGTGCGTGTTTGCTTCCCTAAACCCTAAACCCTAAACCGTATAGACCCTAGACCCTAGACCCTAGACCATAGAGCCCCTAGAGCCTAGAGCCTAGACCCTAAACCCTAAACCCTAAACCCCTCCTCCTGTGCCCGGTGAGGATGTCAAGCAGTGAGAGGTGCATGGATTCTCAAGACTACAGTACATGTGCTTGACACGCAATTGCGGCATTGGGGGTGCCACATGCTCGCATCTCCCTTTCTTCTACAATGTCCGCTTCTCCCAGACTCTGGCAGCCCTTGACTTTTGAAGCCAAACACAGCACCAAAACCCCCCCAAATCCTGAATCCTAGCCCGATTTCGCCCTGCAGGCATGGGCCTTGCCTGGCGGCAGGTAGCCACCGGCACCGGTCATGCCTGGTGGGCCTCTGATGGGCGGGTTTGGGGCTCAAGCAACCCCCGCAAACTGGCTGTTTCTCAGTAGGGAATGAGGGAATGAGGGACCCTATACAGTCCCTGAAAGACTATATACATATATACATACATACATATAATATATATATATATATATAATATACATATTACATATATATACATATATATATTTATTTATATAGGGCCCTTCCCTCATTCCCTGCTAAGAGCCAGGTTTGCAAAGCCCTCTAGCACACTGAGGCTTGCAGCATGGCGGTTGGCGAAGCTCAGCCTCTCAATCCTCCCCTAAGACCCCCAAACTGGGGCTTTCCGATCATAGGGGGTACCCTTTTTGGGGATCCCTTTCTGGGAATCTCCCTAGACCCCAAATGGGGTTTCCGAACATAGGGGTACCCTTTTTGGGGGATCCCTTTCTGGGAATTCTCTTCTATTTGGAGATATTTGGAGTATGAAAAGGGGTGCTCCCCCTATTTTCGGAAACAGCCACACGTCCTAGACTCTGAAACCCTCAACCCTGCCCTCGAAGCTACTCGCTCGCTGCTATCTCGATGCATGGACGAGCCAGGCACGTTGGGGCCGAAATCGGAATGGAACGTTGCAAGCTCTAACCTCTGCAAGCATGTAAACGCCATCCCCAACTCTTGAAAGTCTTGAAAGGCCCGCTTCCCCCAAACCCTACACCCCAAAACCCCAAAACCCCAAAACCCCAAACCCCAAACCCCAAACCCCAAACCCCAAACCCCAAACCTCAAACCCCAAACCCCAAACCCCAAACCCCAAACCCCAAACTCCAAACCCCCACCCCCCCCCCCCCCCCCCCTCCCCCACAGCCTTCCTTTGCTCTGCGGCTGGAGCTGGAGGTCTCCCTGCTCTCCCTCAAAGGCAGCAAAACGAATCCGCTTAAATGGGGTTCAGGGCTTCGGGCTTGGGGTTTAGGGTTTTGGGGTTGGGGTTTAGGGTTTATGGGTGGTTTAGGGTTTAATTAGGGTTTAGGGTTTAGGATTCAGGGTTTATAGGTGGCCTAGGGTTTGGGGTTTAGGGTTTAGGGTTTCGGGTTTATAGGGGGTTTAGGGTTTGGGGTTGAGGGCTTATAGGGTTGAAGATTCGGTTCATCCGGGTTCACGGGTTGCAGTTCAGGGGATCTAAGGGGCGGTTCAGGGGGTTTAGGGTTTTGGGCAGTTTTGGGTTTGGGGTTTACGGTTTGGGTTTTCGCTGAGGTTTGGGTTCTCGAAGGAACACTATTGGGCTGATGGCTTCTGGGTTGGGAGGCGCGGGGGCGCATAGGGAGCGAAATCCGAACCCCAAAACTGCTAAAGTCCACACCCTTAATCCAAAAGGATATCAGCCAAGCTCTAGGACTAGCTTTACAAATTTAGAAAATCCATTGATAGTTGTACTTATCTTTCGGGGCTGTGTTGATTTTTCGAGGGTTCAGTCGGTATACTCCCCTTAGAACCTTAATAAAAAATAATGTTTACTATCCTCTTGGGTTTTATATAAACAAACTAAAATTAAAAATAGAAACAACATCAAAAAACACAAATAAATAAAACTAAATAGATATAAACTACTTCCCAAAGGGGATATGGGTCGCGGCAATCGCGGCCCTGGCCTATAGAGCCTCGAGGCCGAGGGCGTGTGATGCAGGCCGACCAGGCTCACCTCTCTTGGAAGCCCAGGTCGTTTCGTTGGCTGGATCTACGTGGTTTAGGGTTTAGGGTTTAGGGTTTAGGGTTTAGGGTTTAGGGTTTAGGGTTGTGGGTAGAGGGCTTAGGGTTTAGGCACCCAGTTTTGAAGGGAATAAGGTCGCACTGTGTGTCCTCGATTTATGATCACACTCCCTGCGCAGTAGACCCTGGCATCATCGTCGCAAGCACACGTCTGAGGACGAGACGGTGAGCCTGGTGCAGATCACGAGCAGCCAGTTTACCTGCGGCTGGGTACATGGAGCATGGTCATACCTCCCAAGACCCTGATCCGTAAACCCTCCTGAACCAATGGCACAGGGTGGCTTGGCGATAAAAGATGTGAAAAAAACGGGCTGGTGGCCCCGCTCCGGGGAGCGCGAAACCCCATGGCCCTAAAGCACGCTACACCCTCAAACCTTAGAATCTAAACCCTAAAGCCTACAACAACCCAAACCATGCCACACCCTAAAACCTAAAGCCTGAATCCTTAAAGAAAACCCGAAACCCCGACCCAAGACCCAGACAAAAAACGAACCGCCCCAAATAAAAACAACAATAACAAACAAAAAGCCCCCTAAACTAAAAACCAAACCACTCAAGGAAAAAAAGCAAACAAACTCAACCCCCCCCCCCCCGCCCCAAATTAGCGTTGAGTGAATAAAATAACCAGAATCATAGTCATAATAATCATAGTAACTATACTGTCATAATAATCATAAGAACTATAGTCATAATAGCTATAGTCATAATCATCATAATAGCATAATAATCATAATAACTGTAGTCATAATAATAATCAGAAATAATAATCATAATAGCTATAGTCATCATTTAATCATAACAGCTCTAATGAACAAAAGGCTGTTCCTGGGCTCCCCTGCGCTGCGGTCGAAGATCCCGGGCCGCGGCGGCACCGCCGCGACGGAGACGATGGCTGAGTCGGCCGGCACCATCAGGACCTGGACATGGCTCTCACTCACGGGTTTAGGGTTTAGGGTTTTAGGGTTTAGGGCTTAGGGTTTAGGGTTTAGGGTTTGGGGCTTAGGGTTTAGGGTTTAGGGCTACCTGGGGATGGCTCACTCACCGAGGGTTTAGTTTAGGGCTTCGGGAGATTCAGGGTTTGGGGAGTTTAGGGCTTGGTTTGGGGGTTCCGAGTTTTGTTTGGGTTAGGCACGGTTTGGGGCTTGGGTTTTAGGGTTCCCTGTAGTCAAGGAATGCACTTTGGGGTTATCCCTTGCAATTCAACTACATGGCACACATGAGAAAGAGAAAAGCATGAATAGTGTGACTATGGAAAAGTGGAAAGCAAGAAGAATACTATTTCCTTCGTGAAGGGAACATGAAGCGCAACAATGTGCTCTACTATGTTTCAACCAATAAAGGGGGTCGGAGCACATAATACCTCCATAATAAGATGTAGACTGTAACCTGCCCAACGTTAAGTACCCTTCTAGTAGATTACGTTGATAAGGGATCCTATCACTCAAAAGGTTACTCTGGCCAAAGCCCTGCAGAAGATTCACAGTAGCCCTCTTCCTGCCATACTGGAGCTTAAAGCGTGGCGTGGAAGAACCACAGAAACACCCCAAGCTCCACGGCAAAACCCTCAGCCGCCCTAACCTCGGGGTTCTCCCGGTGATAGTCCCAAATGTGCAGGAGGTCATCAGCACTAGCCCAGGCCTGGGGCAGGAAGGGGATGATATGGGCGTGGGGCTCAGGCTTTCGGCTTGGGGGCTTGGGTGTTGGTTGGCGGACCCTCCTTCATTCAGTCTTGCTCTCTTGCTCTGCCTCTCACTCCATCTCTGACTTCTTTCATCAGGGATCATCTTGGCGTCCAGATAGGCGGTCGTACTTGATCGGGCTTGCCGTTAAAACCCCGATTTCCTCCAAGGCCTCTCCCTTTCGTCCGCGAAATGTCTGACAGGACTGCGCCCTGCAGGCTCGATGAGTGCTGCTGATTTTGGGGGCTGGGTCTTCCCAACTTGAGCCCAAAGAAAACTCTGTCTGTCTCTCTCTCTCTCTCGCTCTCTCGCTCTCTCTCGCTCTCTCTCTCTCTCTCTCTCTCGCTCGCTCGCTCGCTCGCTGCCACTCTAACTCGGCAACTCACCATCCATCAGATATCGTGGTGCTTAATAGGGTGGTGAGTGCTTCTAGGATGTAGCAAGAGTTACGTATACCATGCGATCATGAAACAACCAGAGATTAAGGGGTTTTAGGGGTTCAGGAGGAAGGCCTTCAGGGTGTTTTAGGAGTTTTAGGTTTTAGGGGTCTATATCAACAGAAAGAGCCTATATATACCCGAGGCGTAGGATTGACTCCGAAAGGATTTTGTCTGAGGTCCGCGCGTGGTGTGTTTGCGCCAGGAGGCCTGCAATGTCTCTCAGGGTCTTCAGTTTGGGATTCAGGGTTTATGGTCTAGCACTTACTTGGTGAGCCCAGCTAATTAACCATACCATAATAAGAGTACCCTTTCTAAGGTTGGGTACCTGAAGTATAAGGGAACCTTGAACCCAAAAAAGGAGGGGTAGGGTACCACAGGGCCCTCACCGACCCGGAAAGGGCTAAACACCCCAGACCCTAAAGCCCTACATCCCCAAGCCGCAGCCCTGAACCCTAAACCCCAAACACACCCCACCCCCACCCCCCCCCCCCCCCCAAAAAAAAGAGCAAAAATAAATAATAAAATACATATAAGTATACATATAAATATAAATATAAATATAAATATAAATAAATTATATATATCTTATATTAACAAAAACCTAAACCCAAACGTCTCTCAACCAGGGGCCCCACTGTTAACCGAAGGCCCCTGCGAGGGCCCTCTGGCGGGGACTCTACGGCTCTTCCGGCTGCAGGATGCCAAGTGTTCCCACCTTCCCTGCCAGGATGTTCCCCCTTGTACTAACAGTCCAGTCCAGTCCTTAATAATAGGGGACTAGAATAGGGGACTAGAATAGGGGACTATAATAGGGGACTATAATAGGGGACTATGATAGGGGACTATAATAGGGGACTAACATAGGGGGTACTGTGATCCCTATTCAGGACTAGTGTGAAAGGGAACATCCCAACCTGTCACTCTGCGCGGGTTTACGTTTGGGGGAGGTCGATCCCGCAGACTCCCAAACTGAGACCTGAAGGCCTCATATCTACACCCAAACTCTGCGCCACAAAAATGACAACCCTCCACCCTAAACCCCCAAATTGCCTTGACACCCCAATCTTCAACAACCCTAAAACCCCCAAACCCTAAAGAACCCCAAAAAACCCTACAACACCCCAAAACCCTAAAACCCTAAAAACTCTAAAAAAACACCCCAAAACCCTAAAACCCTAAAAACCCAAAAAACCCCACAACCCTAAAACCCTACAACCCTAAACCCCTAAAACCCTAAGAGCCCAAACCCCTGAAACCCTAAAACCCCCAAAAGCACCCTAAACGCCCTAACACGCTCTACCCTAAAGACCCTTCAACATACAAGTCCGGGTCCCTAAACCCTAAACCCTAAACCGAAACCCTAAACCCTAGACCCTAAACCCTAAACCCTAAACCCTACGAACCCTACAAGGCCCGGGTCCCCGACCGCAGTTTGCCCGCTGCTGCGCCCGCCGACACCGCTCCTCCACCACCTCCGGGATCCTCGTGGGCCGGAGCAGAAAGGTAATCTTTTAAATAAGAAAACTAAAATAAAGGTTTTTAGAAATTGAAATAATGGTGATTTTAGAAGACGCGGCTTTTTTGGAGGGTCTTAGGTTCAAGCGGTTTTCTTTTGTGTTTTTTTTTTTTTTTGGGGGGGGGGGGGGCCTAGGTTTTTTGGAGGTCTGAGGGTTCAAGGGTTTGTTTGGGTTTTTTGGGGTGGTTTTGGGGTGGTTTTAGGGTGGTGTGAGGGGGTTTGTAGGGTTTTTAGGGTGTTAGTTTCAGGGCTCAGGGCTCTTGTTGTTGGGGGGTCGGGGGTGGCTTCGGGGCCTTTGGGTTTGAGGCACTTCGTTTTGGGGGGGGGGGGGGGAGGGGGGGGAGGGGGGGGAGGGGGGGGGGGGAGGGGGGGAGGGGGGGGAGGGGGGGGGGGGAGGGCGGGGGGGAGGGGGGGGAGGGGGGGGAGGGGGGGGAGGGGGGGAGGGGGGGGGGGGGGGGAGGGGGGGAGGGGGGGGAGGGGGGGGAGGGGGGGGAGGGGGGGGAGGAGGGGGGGAGGGGGGGGAGGGGGGGAGGGGGGGTTGAGTCTTCTGAGGCTGCTAGCTTCTTTTTGGACTCAAGGTTGCTGAAGTTTTCAGATCTAGGGTCTTAGGAGGTGAAGCGCTTGGGGAGGTAAAGGGCTTCAGTGACTTGCAAGGGAGACAAACATCGAGCTCGCAATAGTTTGGGTTTAGAGTTTCGGGCTCAGCGTTTCGGGTTTAGGGTCAGTTCAGGGTGTATCATTCACAGAATACAGAGAGAGCACTCACACCCACTTCGTGAAACAAACAAAGGCACCGCCCGAGAATCGCATTCGGGCATGCGTCTTGACATAGGTAGTAGCATCTTGACATAGGTAGTAGCTACAGTAGGCAAAGTATAGTCCTATTCTTGATGTTCCATTTGGCTTCATACTAACCTACAAGGAGACGAGAACCTTGACACCACTAACTCCATTCCCTAAACTTCCTAAACCTTGAGTGAACTTTGGGGCCCAAGTACACAAGAATGAGGTACATGGACCCTTACAGGGGAATGTATGGACGCCGCCTCATCTTCAGCGCCGTCGTCAGCTCGACCAGACGCGGGTCCCACCTGGCATTGGCAACCCTCACAGCCCTAACAAACCCTAAACCCTAAACCCTAAACCCTATACCCTCCCTAAACAGCCCTGAGGCTCGTCTGCTCCAGGGTCTCAAGTACACTTTGAGAAGAATTGGGCTCTAGGGGTTAGATCCGATCCCCAAACCCAGTACATGCTGAACATCCCAAGCCTTAAGTCTACCAATCTGAAATGGTGCACCAATATTCGAAGGAAGAGTACAACGCCAGACATGCAGATGCGCAGGCGAACCGAAACAATGAAGATGTCCCAGAAAACTTGAAAACTGGCAGGGTGAGATGTATACCCTTTTCATCAAGATGCCATGTCTGGAGTCCTGAATTAGGATCTTTCGTGCCCGATTAGACCATAAGGCTAAAATCGCCGAAGCCGCCATTCGCCCCCTGAACTTAGATCATTCTACTCTAAATTCCAACGCTTAGAGGTGGGTGCTTGAAAAAGTGTACAATTTCAGTTCTGTAGGGGGATTGCTGTATCCCAAAATGTGTAAAGTGTACTCATTCAGCTACCAAGAAAAGGCTCGCCGGCACCACTCAGCAGCCTGCACATGGCGATGGTCGTCCTGCAACCAGGTCAGAGATCTCCACTGCAGCGAGATAGGGTTTAGGGTTTAGGGCTTAGGGCTTAGGGTTTAGGGTTTAGGGTTTAGGGATGCTAAGATTCAAACTATCCCAAACCCCCTGGAAACTCAAGCAAAAACCTTCCCTGGAAGCTCACAAACGCATTGGCGGACGAGTTTCCTACATCTCCTGGGCAGCCCAAAAACGAAACCATGAGGTGTAAGTCCTAAAAATACTGAACGGCGCGTATGTATATATACATATAGCTATTCTGTACATTTGTGTATCTGCAAGTATGATATGTCTGGAGATATGTAAGGACGTACGTATGTGTCCATGAATCAATGAACCTGTGTGTCCCAAAATCGATGTATCGTATAATATATAAATATATACACACATGCGCTTATGTTAATGTGAACATGTGAATAAATAGATCTGTATCTGTATATATGTATATCTATGTATCTCTGTAGATGCATATCGATATAAGAATAATAAGCTCGGTATAAGAACAATAAGATATTATGGATCCTTTGTTGCATATCAATACAACAACGTGTAAACATAAATAAACAAACGCGCGCACACACATACATACATACATACATACATACATACATACATACATACATACATACATACATACATACATATATATATATACACGTAAAGTTATGCATATAGAACGACGATGTATCTATCTGCCTAGGGGTTTGTCTATGTCAATACAAGTTTGTGAGTCATATGACTTTTCTGAAATATGCGCTTTGTTTGGATAACCTTGATACAAGACGTCGTATTCTAACAGAGGCCCCAAAACAGCTCCCCGACTTTCCTGAATTGGGGAACCCTTACTACAATCCTCATTCTGAGCGCCCTACATGTGGGAACTCCCTCAACTCCCCTGAAAACGCACCCTAAACGCCCTGAAAAGCCCGAAAAGCCCTACTAGTGAACCCTTGAAGCCTAAACCCTAAACCCTAAACGCCCTGAAAAGCCCTAAAAGCCCTACTAGTAAACCCTTCAACCCTAAACCCTAAACCCTAAACGCCCTGAAAAGCCCTAAAAGCCCTACTAGTAAACCCTTCAACCCTAAACCCTAAACCCTACACGCCCTGAAAAGCCCTAAAAGCCCTACTAGTAAACCCTTCAACCCTAAACCCTAAACCCTAAACGCCCTGAAAAGCCCTAAAAGCCCTACTAGTAAACCCTTCAACCCTAAACCCTAAACGCCCTGAAAAGCCCTAAAAGCCCTACTAGTAAACCCTTCAACCCTAAACCCTAAACGCCCTGAAAAGCCCTAAAAGCCCTACTAGCAAACCCTTCAACCCTAAACCCTAAACCCTAAACGCCCTGAAAAGCCCTAAAAGCCCTACTAGCAAACCCTTAAACCCTAAACCCTAAACCCTAAACCCTAAACCCTAAACCCTAAACCCTAAACGCCCTGAAAAGCCCTAAAAGCCCTACTAGTAAACCCTTCAACCCTAAACCCTAAACCCTAAACGCCCTGAAAAGCCCTAAAAGCCCTACTAGCAAACCCTTAAACCCTAAACCCTAAACCCTAAACCCTAAACCCTAAACGCCCTGAAAAGCCCTAAAAGCCCTACTAGCAAACCCTTGAACCCTAAACCCTAAACCCTAAACCCTAAGCGCCCTGAAAAGCCCTAAAAGCCCTACTAGTGAACCCTTCAACCCTAAACCCTAAACCCTAAACGCCCTGAAAAGCCCTGAAAAGCCCTACTAGTAAACCCTTCAACCCTAAACCCTAAACTCCCGAAGAAGGCTCCCCGCCCGAACCCTGGGCTGCCCCTGTGCCTCGCTCGACAGCTTGCCCAGCGTCCGGGCGACCAAAGCCTGGGTTTAGGGTTTAGGGTTTAGGGTTTAGGGCTTAGGGTTTAGGGTTTGGGGTTTGGGGTTTAGGGTTTAGGGTTTAGGGTTTTTGGGTTCGGGGGTTTGGCGGTTTTGGGGCGCTTTTGGGTTTGGGGAGGTTGTGTAGGGGATTTTGGCGGGGTTGGGGGATTTGGGATGGATATTGGGTTTTTCGAAGACCCAACCCTTACCCTAAACCCCTAAGACCCCAAACCCTCAAATCCCCTAAACCCCCCAAACCCGAAACAAAGCCCTAAACCCTAAACATGCCGAAGCCCAGATTATATCGGGTCAGTGTTCTGAGGCCAAGACTGCCCCAGAGGTTGCCAAAGGCGAAGAGGTCTCATGAGCAACCTGTCACACAGTCGGGTGTCCCGGAGGATTGCGGGTTCAGGGTTCCGAGGTTCCGAGGTGGGGTTAGGGGTAACAGGGTGTTTTTTGTTCTCCATCCTCCCCCCAAAGCCCTACAACATCTCCATGATGTGCTTTCATTGCATGTTCAATAATTAGGAGCTCCGATTCAGAAGAATTCCTGGCTATCTGCGGAACTGATGACGCAAGACATGTGTAGCTCATCTAAGCCCCGAAACCCCAAGCTCTGAACTCTTAAACCCTCAACGCAGAATATCCCCAAACTCTACGCCGCCCCAAAAAGCTGAACCCCAAATGCCGAAACCCTGACTCGCAACGAAACCCTCAAGCCTCCCCCCCCCCCTAACCCTAAACCCTAAACCCTAAACCCTAAACCCTATGATGAAAGGTGTGGAATGAGACGCACCCGTGGCTTTGGCTTTTGTGGTTCCAGGACATGCCGTAGGCATCGGAACACAAGCAGAAGCAGCACAGACATGCAGGCAACAGGTCGCATGTGACTCTCTGTGGCGTGTTGTGTGGTCGCCCTTTCTGTGGTAGGGTAGGACCGCCTGACTGGCCGATGGACTTCGGTGCTGCAGTGTGAGGAAAAGGGAGCCTCTGGTGGTGAAGCGGTGTTCGTACAAGGAGTACAAGCCGAGCCAGAGCCAAGCACAAGCCGAGCTGCCATGTCGTTTGCTGGACCTCAAGAGCCCCGCGCTCTTGAGGTTATGAGCCCAAGCGGCCTGGGCGCAACCGCTGCATTATTGAGTTCCCCTACGCTGGTTGGTGAGACAGCTGGGCCGAACTACGGATCTTTGACAGTTGGTGCTGGTACAGATGGTGCTGGTGCAATTGGGACTGGTGCAGTTGTTGTGGGACCGGTTCAGGGTGGAGACCTGAGTACACCTGCTGTTGCCGATGGGCAGACAAATAGTGGTGTGCTGGGCAGTGGAGACCCTGGTGTTACTGGTGGCCTGGAAATGGAGCAGGTCAATGACAACTGGCCAGTGGTGGAGCAACCTAGGGTTTTGGAGTCCAGCAATGGTGGCTTGGAGACTGCAGTGGCAGCCGAAAGATTTGGTGCAGCGCAGATGGTGCAGACCGCCATGGAAGGCACTGCGAATGCTGGTTCGCCGACAGCTGCGTCGCGTACAACTGGGCTGGAGATGAGGTATGTCCAGACTGGAACGGGCGCATATGGATGGATGACAAGGCTGACAGACTTTCTGCGAGCGACGACGACTGGTGGTGGTGGTTTAGGGGATAGGATGTTAGGGTCTTTAGGACTAACGCCCAATCAGGCCCCGGGAACGCCCCGCAGCCACAGCAGCAGAGCAGCAGCCGTAGCAGCAACACCGCAGTCGGCAGCCAGGCAATCGCCTTGGAATTTCTCCCCGCCGGAAGAGCTCCAGGTGATGACCCAGCACGTGGAAGGTGGGGGTCACTCCGCGTTGTTTGACCAGAGGGCGGTGGAGAGAATGAACAGTTGGCCTTCTCGTGGACCTCTACTTCATGGAGAACAAACGTCGCAAGGGTCTACGGGGTCGTCAGAAATTCGGGTTGAAGTGCAACGTCAGCTGGGACAGTACATGAGGGATCGCAGAGACCAGGTGCAGACCGAGGTGGTGGCTTTGCGACGACAGGTACAAGAGCTGATGAATGCTGGTTTTGGGAGACAGTCTGGGGGCGAGGCCGAGCAGGGAGTTGGTCGAGTTCCAGGAGGTCCTCAGGTGCCAGGGGATGATCCACTTCACGGAGTACCTCATGGAGGAGGTAGCTCACTTCACGGGACATCTCAAGCACAAGGTGGTCTTTCTGGAGCTGGCGTTCCTCAAGTTCCTCAAGGTCCTCAGCTTCCTGGTGGTTCGGGAGGTCCACATGGTCCTCAGCTACCAGGCGTTTCGGGAGGTCCACACGGTCCTCAGCTTCTGGGTGGTTTGGGAGGTCCTCCTCAGCTACCTGGTGTTTCGGGAGGTCTACAAGGTCCTCAGCTACCTGGTGTTTCGGGAGGTCTACAAGGGCCTCAGCTACATGGTGGTTCGGGAGGTCTACAAGGTCCTCAGCTACCTGGCGTTTCGGGAGGTCCACGTGGTCCACATGGTCCTCAGCTACCTGGCGTTCCTCAAGTTCCACAAGGTTTTCAGCTACCTGGAGGGCACCAGCAGATTGGAAGTGGTGGTGTGTCGGGAGTTGGCCAAGTTCCTGGAGCTCCTCAAGCATCTGGAGGTCCTCAAGCGTATGGAGGTGGACCGCAAAGTGCAGGGGAGTTGCCGAGGAGTGCAACTCGTGGCCCGAACCAGTCGGCTGGTTCTGGGGCTGGAAATGTGGGCGGTTCTTCGTTTGGTGGAGGGATCGGAGATCAGCCGGGACTGGTTGGAATGCTGGCCGCAGGTATCCAGCAGCTCCAGCAGGCGCAGCTGAACATGA